AAAACAAAAGTAGTTTAGTAAAATTTTGAATCTTAGACACTAAAACCTTGTGTCGTGGGCAGTAAAGGGTACCCGTGGCGATGGGGTCATTTAACAAAGCTGTCACAAAAGAAGAGTAGACAACACAGATGTTAATGTCTAAACAGTTGCAGCTTCTCTGGCAGTATCTATATTTTATTGTTAAACTATTGCATAAAAGGAGAATAAACGATACTGATAGGACAAAGATGTGCCTGCATGTGTTATTCATTTGATTATTACAGGATTTACAACTATTATGTTTTTTTTATTTTTTTAAGTTAGCTAATGAAACTGGAGTCCTAGTTGCACATGTTACAACATTTCCAGGTAAAGAAGTGCTAGGATTGCTTATTAATATGCTTCCAAGTACTCTCAGGTTAATAGTATAAGGTTTTGTTTGTGCATGGTAACTCCAAAAGCATACCCTTATTGTGAGTTACAATTTGAAAATACTTTTTATTTCTATTATTTTATTGTTTTTTTTTACTAGATTTAGTCATTTCATGTTGACCCTCAAATCAAAAAGCATTTTTTCAAATAACTTGCTATTTCCAGGTATATTCTGGGCCATTGACTTTATATGTATATAAAAGATCAAGGTGATCTGAAAACCATTTGTAATTATTGCAGATATATAAATCTAAGCCTAATTTGTTGAATACCCTCCACACCCAGTATAATCTTATAATTGAATGTGTACTATGAATTCGAAGTACATGCCTACTCAGATGAAGTTATTTGTGTATTATATATTTAAAAGGTAGAAGACACTTATATTTGTTCTTACAAATATTAACTGTTCACATTTATTAAAATACTATTCAAATGAGTTTGTTTTATATAATTCTTTGTTAAAATAGCTTCTTGATAATATTTATATTAGATTATATATCTTGCTTCATTTAAAAAAATTCAAGCTAGAAGGGAAATGATAACTGGATATTCTGCTTGTTTTGTAGGTGGGATGGTTCCCCAAATCCTATGTGAAGCTAATTGCTGGACCGCTGAGGAATCAAGAAAAGTAATCACTTTAATTAGTTTAGCTATACAGATTTTATAGTCTAGTTTTAAGTCTTTAGTACATTAGGGATAGTATTGACTTTGATATATCTCAGAAAATGTATGTGTTAAATATTCTGGCAAAATTTCAGCTTTTTATTTTGAAATTGCATACATCTCTCTCGAGAAAATCATTTATAGTTTCTATTATGTGGAGTTGTCATCTTTAAAGTATAGAATTTTCTTGAAAAGCAAGCTTTTTTTTTTTCATATTTGTGAAACGATAGATATACTGAAAATTATCATTAACTTATTTTATACCAGTGTTAAACTTGGCTTGTTATCTATGAAATTTCTGTATATGAGTAGTTAGAAATATAGTATTTCATGGAGGTCAGTAAGTAGGCAGAAAGAAATATGATATTTCAAGCAGGTGAGTTAGTTTTTAGAAATATCTGAAGCATATAAATAAGTAGAAATAGAAAGATGCATTATTTCAAAGAGGTGTGCAAATAGATAGTAAGATATTTCAGTGAAGTGTTTGAGCAGTTAGAAGTATGATATTTTGAGCAAGTGAGTTAATAGTTTAAAAGAAGTACATTTTGAGCAGTTGAGTAAGTATTGTATAAGAAATACAATATTTCTATAGGTGAGAAGTACCTAGAATTAAAGATACTTCGTTCTATAGGTGAGGAGTACCAAGAAGTATGATACTTTGTCTAGGTGAACAAGTAGTTAATTTGCTCAAAAGGGAGTAATTTTTTATTTTATTTTTTACAACACATTTTCATGTTAAATTAAAATATATAAATCTGACTTATTTCTTTCATTTTGAAAATGTTTTAGTACTATTCAGTCTCCTTCTGAAACTCTGACAGCATTCGGGGAAGACTTTCAGACTGCATTAACAGGTAACAAGGAGAAGATGTTTCCTAGAAATATAACTTGCATACAGCTACTTTATTAACTGTATCTATACAGGCGTCCTTTTTAACACATGTCATGAGGTTTCAGTGAGTTACATCCATAATTTAATTAAACTACTATTATCATGGTATATTAACAAACTTGGTATAAAAATGTAGCTAATAATCCAAATTTTAATCTAAGTTTTAAATTCTTAATTTTGATCAGGCATAATACTTCAATCTTATTTGGTTACATAACCATGAAATAGAAAAATCAGACCCCTTTTGCCACACCCACCTGTTACATCCTCTCTTTCACAAATTGCCAGTAGTTCTCTCTGGTGTTTAATGCTATGTTGTTTCGAACCAGTAAAAAGCCAAGGTTTTAATCTATCAAATGATGTATTATATTACATTGTTTTATGTACAAAGAATTGTCTATTTTATTCCCTTGAGAAACACGTAATGATATTGTCTGTTTATTATGTGTTATTATTCTGTGTTCTTAAGTGCATTACGTAATTAAATTAAAAGTTATTTAATGTAATAGTACTGTTAGTATAAAAAGTAGGGTTAAGTTTCATTGACCATCAACAGCCAAAAAAAAAAAAAGTTATCCAGGTGGGTATTATTTTTCATGTGTATTCTTTATTTATTATTCTAAAAGTATCTAAAATTTAAGAATTAGTAATTTATTACATAAGATAAGTTTAGAGTAGGTAAGATAAAGAAATAATATATATATTAAATATTTCACGAGGTATGGTTGAGAGTAGCCTGTGCCTTACATTATATTATAGGGTAACAGGTTTAGGTAACGGGAACAGTTGGTTGATCAGGGGTAAACCCTTGACCCACCAACCAACGATGGAAAACATTCCATTTGCATTGAGAAATTTAGAAAGGGCACATGAAACAAACCAGAAAAGAAGCTAACCAGCAAAGAAGCCGAATCTCCTCACCAATGACCAGAGGAAAACCAGGTGTTAAGATGGAGGACAGGAAGGGATATGGGATGCTCTGATGATTTTTTACTTTTGTTTCTTGGGCGTAAGTGACAAAGCTGAATGTATGCTATCATTTTTGGCTATGTGTGAGAAAGGAAGCAAGGAAAAGCTCAGAGATATGCATTACCTTATCTCAAAAAAGAAAACACTTACTGAAAATGGAAAGAAGTGAACAAAAAAAAATAATACAATTCTATTCCAAGGGGAAGAAACACTGGTAATGTTCAATTTTTATTCAGCTGTTCTGCCTCTGTTGAAGTACTATGTGTTTCAAACAACTGAATGGCACACAAATTACATGCCAAACAAGAAGTGCTGAAAGAACTTCTGACATGTTATATTAAGCAAGAACAAATTGTAGGAAAGAATGCAAAGCAATTAAAGCTACCATAAACAGAGATATACTGTTATGAGCCTTAAGCTTTTGGGATAAACAGTTGTAGTTTTCTATTACAGTCTGCATTCATACTTAAAAAAAGTGGGTAACAAGGCTAGTCAGGTTGACTGAGCACATTTAGAGTTAGGGAGTTGAATGTAAAGATTAAAGTACACAATATCTTAAAAACAATCTACAAACCCATACAAGGATGCTAGTCTTCGTAGCAGTCTCTCGAGCATCTCTCCATCATTGAGCACATCCAGGACAATAACACCTACAAAAGGAACACTCCATACTGGTGAAACAGTGGTATTAATAAACCTGGAAAGCATGCAGACAAATCCATGCAAAGTTCATGGGGATAAAGCATGAATTAACCCATGCAGAAGGAAAAAAGGATAGCATGTATTAAAGCCTGTTCCCTCTTCAAGTGATCAGCTTCAAAAGCATGAAACAAAAAATGGAATGAACTGTGTGACAAGGGAAATCTTAAGTGTATCTAAAATGTACTTTATACTGGTATTTTCACAAGCTGTAGTTAGCACAGGAACCAAAAATAAAACATGTCGGGCATTTACAAGGATGATGGTACCCATCTTCATACAGATGAAGGCCAAGCAAAGGCCTCCATACACAAATACATTAACCAGACTGATCATGGTGACAAGAAAGTTACAAAAGCTCTATCCAGTCTACAAGAACATGTTAATATGGAAGCCATGTTTAGATTGGCCAAGAGAACACAGATCCATAAATACATGTAGAGATGGTGTAAGAATCACCCCCTTTAAGAAGCTCACAGAAGTCAATGTCTCGAAGTTAATAACAGAATATCAACACTTCCCTACCAGACTTAATCACTGCTACCCTCATCATCAGGTAGTTATCACAGTGCAATAGAAACAAGGATTTATTTTTAAATAAATGCTGCTGAATTCACAGTAGATATATGGAAAGGTTGTGAAGCTTGCCAGAACATGTTTGCAATAGCTTTAGATCTGAAAGATGCCTACAATAGAGTCCAAGTGTCCATTCTTGCTGGAAAAAGTCTCAGAATAGACATCAGTATATCAAGTGTAAAATAGGTCATTACTGCAATACCAAAAGGTGCATCATGAAATATGGAACCATGCTGGTAATCCGAGTAGATCACCATCAATACTGGTTTGCCCCAAGAATTGACACCAGTTAACATCTTCATTATGGATCTAGTCTGCTTTGATTGTCCAACCAGATATTGTGCTCATTTTAGCAAAGCTGAATTGAAAGCAAATTACAAAAGACTGAAAATTAGTAGGACAGTATACAGCCAGAAAGCCATTGATAACGTCAGTAAAGGAACTCTCTTCTACCTCCTGCAAAGTATCTGTTCCCCACATGAGTAATTAGTGCCTCTCAGCACCCTGGAATTTTCACCTAGTACTCATTTTAACTTAGGCTTAGTTTATTGTACTATTTAAATCTCTAGCCTCCCTTTGTAATAGTAATTGATTTTTAGGCCTTGGATTAATATACATTATATTATTTGGTTCTTAGATCTGGTACAACATTGAATGTGGCATGAGATCATTATTTTGCATACTCTGATTTTAGTTTCATTATCTAGTTTTAACTGGTTCTTAGGCTCAGTACACTTACATCCTCTATTAAATCTACTGCATTGATTTTTAGAAAAAGTGAAATTTGTTAATTTTCTATCAAATGCATAAAGTTATATTAATTTTGTAATAACACCTCAATTAAATTTCAAAAACAATCAAATATGTTTATGTGTATGTCTAATTGTGCATTTATGCTTTGAAATTTTAATTTACTTAAAATAATAACACATTAACTTAGGTTTTTTTTCATGTACTTCATAATTATTTCATTGGGATTCTAAATCAGAGGTGTCTGAAAATATCATATCAGATCTATCTTTTTTCTTCCACAAGTCACTGTCCAAGAGCTCTTTGTTCATTACCAGAACTCGACAAGTTGAGTCATATGATGAGAGAGAAAATATTATGTAAAGTACTGTTTATATATGGCTCAAATTTCAAAAGATTTTGAAGAATTAACTCTTTTAGCACGGGCTCGGTCCCTGGGACCAACCTTGTAACCATTTTATGCTTGTTATAGTTTTCATGCTATAATTTTTAAATTATTAAGCGAATGTTAACGAAATTTGGCAGATTATCAATAAACAATGCTTTCATATGCAAAATATCAATTTTTTTATTATTAAAAGTCTTAAAGTTTGTAAAGCAGTTTTTAGCATATCGATTTGACTGACCACATGAACTCTTTGTACTTGTTCGAAGACTTTATAGATTTGATACTAGTAACTTTTTAATACATTGTGTATATCTTCATGAAATTTGGCAGACTTTCCGTAAACATTAAAAAAAAAACTTTTTTTTATAAAATAAGATTTGTCCTTGAATGTGTGTAAAGTGATTTTTATGTTAAGATTAGAAGAACTTTTCTTCATCTAAAAAACCTAAAATTTCATTCGCATAATCCCTAAAACTTTCCAAATACATTTCAAATGTTTGTTTTGAGTAAAACTTTATATTTTATCTGTTATTTAACTGTATACAAGGTTGGTCAATTTGACTGACTTTGTAATCACCAAAAATAAATCTAAATTACCCTCTTTTTCTTTCTAGAATGATTTCAAACATAGCATTAAACTACATTCATTTATCCTAAGTAGCTGGCCCGGCATGGCCAGTTGGTTAGGGTGCTCGACTCATAATCTGCGAGTCGCGGGTTTTAATCCCCATCCCACCAAACATGCTTGCCTTTTCAGCCATAGGGGTGTAATAATGTTACGGTCAATCCCACTATTCATTGGTAAAAGAGTAATCCAAGAGTTGGCGGTGGGTGCTGATGACTATCTGCCTTCCCTCTAGTCTTACACTGCTAAAATAGGGATGGCTAGTGCAGATAGCCCTCGTGTAACTTTGCGCGAAATTCAAAATACCAAACCAAACCTAAGTAGCTTTAAGCTCTTAACAGTATACATCTATTTATAATTAAATTGTATTATTTTCTTTCCGTTTTGATTGCCCTTTGAACCATGTCTAACTACTATTCACACCATTATAAGTTGTAAATCACTCTCGCCACGTGCAGCTCATGTTATGCTAACGAATTACATTACCCATGAGCTTCTCCGAGCTGCTTGCATTCATGCCTAGTGAAATATTTTTAATATATTATTATATATTTTACTTAATCTAACTTTAACTAACCTAAAAAGATCTCTGTTTTTACATTTTATTTACTTTTATAACAATAAATATAGAATAAACATGAAAAACAAGAAATAAATTACTTCTCTGATCTTTTTTCTTGCTGTCGATGACACTTAACCTACTTTTTTTATACTAATGGTAGTAACTCACTAAATAATTTTTATTTAATTAAATAATGCACCTAAAACATAGAATAATAACATGTGAAAAGTAGGCAATTTCCCTTAACTTAAAACTTATCTGTCTTTTTTAACTATGCAACAAGAAGTATTACAAGTTCACACAAGCTAGTCGTTAGCTTTCCCATGGGAAAGGAGCTCATACCTTTGAGTGAAATTGATGAGTAGCTGTTCAGAACAAAATGTTAGACAATATATCATTTGGTAGATGTAAACCTTGGCTTTCTATTGGTTATATAGGTAATATATATAATTAAACGTAAGAGAGAACTATTACAAAATCTCGCAAGAGAAGATGTGGCAGGAGGGGGGTCTGATTTTCTAATTGATAGCTCTGTAACCAAACAAAATTGAAGGCTATAAAAATTATGGTTTGTTTGAGCAATAACTGTTTTATAGTAATTATTTTACACTTAATTTCATACTTATTGTAGGGGTGGTTTGATAAAATAGAGAAGAGGAGATGCCTAAAGAAAATGTCACACGAAGGAAATTGAGGGTTTTTTAAATATTGCATTATAAAATTTAGAACTTGTATACTATCAAAAATGGATTATTAGCTAAGATTTTATGGTATACTAAAAAATAGTTTAGTAAAATTTTGAATGTAAGACACTAAAACTTTGTGTCATGCTCAATTAAAGGAGATTTTGTCACAATCAGGTACAAGTAGTTTGCTTAGATGCAGGAATGTATATATGGTATAAACCAAGAAGTCTCATGAGTGGAAATTACTTAGTTACTCAGTAAAGATATCTTGGGATGTGTTATTCAGTTAAGATGGGTTCTTTGATTTTATGTTTGTTGATGTTTGACTGTGTTTAAAATTATAATGCTTTTATTTGATATAATATGTTTTTTTTAATTACATTGGTTGTAAACATGAGGTTTTTCTTTTATTATGTTTACTAAATCAAATTATATCTACTTAGTTTAATGAGTACTGAGTACAGTAGGCAACAGGAAAATATTCTGATGACTCAAATCCTCATTTATCATGGTTTTTCTGAGCAATGACAATTTTATAGTGAGTAATTTATGTGTAATTATAGTTACTGGTGCAGTGTTGGATAAAATAAAGATGATGCTTAGAAAAAATGCGTCTTATGTGTCACACTAGGGGAAATTCAAGATTTTCTTTTTAATATTGCTTTGGAGAATTAAGAACTTAAAACTTATATATTATTAAAATATGGATTATTAGCTAAGATTTTCTGCTATACTAACTGGTATAACATAAAAGTAGTTCAATAAAATTTTGAATGTAAGATGCTAAAACCATGTGTCATGCACCGTGAAAAATACCTGTGGCAATAGGGTTAAGAGGAATGTGAAGATAAATATATCTGCAGTTAACATGAGTTTTATCATAAATTTTAGGCCTGTTGGTTTTTAATTTTCCCACAGCTTTTGGCATTTATACCATAACTTTTAAAATAATAACTTTGGTGTCATACAACACTTTCCTAATAAATAATATTAATTTGACTAACAAATAATTTAAAAGTATTTGTTGTTTCACTGTGTAAGTCACTGATTATTGAGTTTAAGGCATGCATAAATTATGTTTGAACAGAATGTGAAGAAAATAGTTAAATATAGCTATGTTTTTTTAGGCATGTTAATTTGTTGTTAGTATTACTGTTTTCTTCTTATTGTTGTTAGTTTGGAATAATTGGATTTTGAATAATTTTTTTGCATGCAAAATTTTATTAACATTGTGGATTTATGTAGTTGTTGTTCAGAACTTGTTTATTGCATTTCTGAGGGGTATTATAGAAAGAAACTTATGGTTAGGAAAAAAGAACATGTGATTTTACAGTTTTGTGAACATAATTGTTCTGAATTTGTTGCATTCTGAAAAATGCTCTAGAAATTGTGAATAATAGGAAGTTAGGATTATATAAAAATTTGCCACTTAAAAACATGTTTAAAAAATATTCAAAATTTTTTTATACAGGTAAAAAACTATGTTTAATTGAATGCAAAGAATGGGTTTGGTCATAAGTCTCTTATCTGCAGTTGAAACACTTTTATATCTTAGTGACTAGCACATGTAGCACTAGGCAATTACGTACTTGTGAAATATATGTGTTAATCCACTATTGTACTAATCTAATAAAGTAAGAATTTGATATGTTATTATGAGAAATTGAAATAATATGGTTTACCAGTTAATTTTTGAATTGTAATGATTCTATGGGTGTTGGAATAAATTCACACCCTCAATACATAGCAGTCAGTATTATCTGTAACTTGTAGATTGTTGTTACCTTTGAAAGTTCTTTTTAAGACTTTAGATTTTTAAACATCAATCACAATAGAGTTTGAGCCATTTTGATATATATTCCATTGTGTGAAAGTATTTATGTACAATTATGAAATTGAAAGCAGAAAGATGCTTAAAGGTGTAATTGTGGTATAGGAAATACTGGGAAAAATAGCATAAGAATATGATATATACTAAAAGCAGTATTATTTTAATTAGGTAATTAGTCAATTGTATATCTGTTGTTGATATATTTTCTCTAGAAGAAGCTGAATATTTTGTAGCCATGTACCCATTCCAGTCCCAGGAGCCTGGAGATTTATGCTTTCAACAGGGAGACACCATACTGGTAACCAAGAAAGAAGGGGATTGGTGGACAGGAAACATTGGAAACAGGAGTGGCATCTTTCCTAGTAATTATGTCAGTAAAGTAGATTCTGTACCAGTTGAGGTAAGATTTAAACATTAAATGGTAACAGTAATGTTAAAGCTATTTGACATGGATCATTTAATATAATACTTCTGTAGTTAAATCAGTCTGTAGCTGTCAAGACAGCAGATTATATTGTTATTGTTTCAGTATTAGCAGTAAATCACAAATTTGCTTCTTATTAGTAGCTCTAATAAGAGTTATTAATAAACATTCTTCCTATATTATACCTAACCTCCACTCAGATAGTAGCTTTGTTGATTCAGTGCTGCCCTCTATATATGTATAGTTTTTGCTCACCACCAGTTTTCAAACTTCCACCTAAGATCACTCATTTCCACTTGATACTGCTTTGCTGTTGCATGCAAATAAGCATGTGGCAACCCTTCTCCAGTAGGAGTACAGCTGGCTTCTGTACTGATTGTTCAATCATCGTTAGATTTAAGTATAGCATGAGTGTTAAATTTAGTTATTCTTAGAATTGATAGTTTATTGGAGGTTTTTGACTGTGCTAATCATATGTTGTGTAGTTTAATTGGCAATTGTTGTATTATTGTGTCACGTTACTAGTTTTTCTTGAGTATTATTATGTCATAATATCTCGTAGTGTGTGGAAAGTTCTAGGCCTCAATTGGGCCATTTATAAATATGGGTCCAGAAATGTAGTTCAAGATCAACAAAGTTGGTGAGAGATACAATCAAATAGACCTAGGATGTGTGTTTGTATGTTTAGCTGTAAAGAGCACATAGTGGCATTTTCTTTTAACCTTATAGCACTAGATGCCATTTTTACATTCCTTTCTATGCATGGTTCTGCATAACATTCAAAATTTAATTGAATCTCTCTCTACTAGCAATATATTTCAATGAAATTAACATTATAATTTGAATTTTTATATTATCTAGCATTTTATTCATTTGTTTGAAACAAAATACTTAAACTGCAGTTTTTCTCATGTGATTCACATGCTATGAAATATCTCAACTTTACCAATCTACTTGAGTGTCTAGATTCTAATGAATGTGTGTCTCAACTATTTTCACGTGAGATTCAGTCTGCAGTTGCATTCTCTAAGAAACAGATATAAATTTTCCAACCCTTGATGAATGCTACGCCCACCTTCTATACTTTTCTGTGAGATCTACAACGTATTTGTTGTTCATTGACACAAGTGTATGTAGTTATCAGAAAGAGCTCTTGATACAACTGTTGTGATTAACTGTGTAATGAGCATTTGTATGAATATATCATTTTAAAACACTGTATGCTGTTTGTTGAAATTTATTGCCAACAAGTTACAGACACCTACTATAAAGAATTCTGCACATCCATATATAAAACCTGAAAATCATCACTTCTTACCTTTTTTGTTTGTGAACTTTTGTTATGTAGACATTTCTTTAGTGGAAATATCTCGAAAGAAATTAACTGTTGTGTAAATATTTATTGTTGGATTTTCGTTTTTGAACATTTTCTACATCTGCAGCTTTTGTTGTCATTTATTTCCACATTATTATTATTTCAGAAGTGTCAATAACTTCCACTTTTATGGTGAAAGACAATTAGATGCTGTACATGCTAGACTAACAACTAAAACAGCATTGGATTTGTCTTAGTTTTTTTGGGTTGTGATGGCTTGTGTGTGTAGCAGGTTGTGAAGTTTTTCATACAGCCTGGACCTTCTTTTGAAACTGAAATACCTCCGCCTATGTTTCCCATTCGTGATGGAAGAGGTTTTGGAAGTTTTTTCCCACCACCTACCTTTGCCTACGCCAATACTCATGCTTTCTTGAATCTACCTACTCTTTTGTAATTCTCTCCTTCACCTTGTAATTTGTTTTCTACTTCTTACTTTTGTGTTTTGGCCTCCCTCTCCAGATATGCAAGTTCATATTTGATCACTTTGACTCCAACTTTGGTGCATGCATTCCTCATTCTCCTTCTTTGTTATCTCATATACCTTTGCATAACATCAAGCCGTATTGCCTTTCTTTGACCTCTAAATGCTGAAGTCTTTTCTTCAGTCTTGTTCGACTTTCTTATGCTTAATTTTTTTCCTGCTTGGTCTTACATTCCCCACCTCTTTAAAATTAATTTTCCTCCATTCACCTACTTTCCATGGTAATCCACCCTTCCTCTGAGGAATTTTCAGCAGATGCTCGTTCACTTCTCTTATCTTCTCGTTCACTTCTCTCTTCCCTGGCTTTATCACTTCATACTTGGTTGATATGTTGCTTGAATATCTTGGGACTAGATGATCCTCCTACTTGAGTGCTTTTGCCTCCCTTTCATCTCAGATACCTTTGTCTGACTCCTTTCCTCTGCCAGTGAGATTTTTGCTGGAGTGCTTGTTTTTTTGGAGTCATATGCTGGGGCTGCATACGAATGTTTTTTTTTTATCTTCATTGGTTTCCTGTCTCTCCCATGTTCCTTCTGTTCCTCTTTCTGTCTCCTATCCTACTTCTTTTCCCATCCCCACTACTCAATCATCTGTTCCCATCCATCCTTCCATTGCTTGTAGACTTCAGTGCTGTCAATTTTGGTGGTGACTATTCTATAGGATCAGGGCCTGTTTAGTTAAGTTTTTAAACCTTTACTTATACGAGTCCCTTCAGTGATCACTGCTCGACCAATGAATCATGCATTCTTTGGATCATCCTGTCTCATGACTCAGAAGCAACAGCGTAGATTGCAAGTAGTGATTGGATCAGACCAACACTACTGTTGGGGTACCCATTCCACCACCTCATCTGAGATTCATCTGTTCACAGATGCATCTTTTCAGGGATGGGGAGCTTATCTTCAAGGTCAGGAGTTCCAGGGTATTTGGACGGAAAATGAGTCTACCCTCCATATCAACATTCTCGAACTCCAGGCAATGGTTCAAATCTGTCTGTCTTGAAGGGAAAAATTGTCATGATTCTTTCTGTCAATTTCACAGTGGTATCTCTGATTTTTTGTCAAGGAGGCACACATTCTTAAGACCTTTGTTTTAGTACCTCGGATCTCCTCTACTGGGCTCATTCCCTTCGTATTATCAGTCTTTTACCTTGTCATGTTCCAGGAGTGATAAATGTACTTCAGATCACCCAACCAGATTCTTCTGACAGAATGGATGCTACATCATGAGGTGTTTTGGTAAATTTGATTTCAGGTCGGGTCTCCAACAATCCATTGAGACTCATTGGTACTCTCAACTGCAGTTGTATGGTATCTGATACCTCATCCTCAAGCATTGGCAGTAGGTACATTGAGTCAGAATTGTATAGGTTTACATCTGTATGCCTTTCCTCCGAATCGGCTATTACCCTGGGGTTCTGACTATGGTTCTTTCCACTCCCTGTTGAGTTATCTTGGTTGCACCATTTGGACCAGCTCAAACATGGTTTCTGCTTCTTTGGTATCTGCAGGAATGTCCACTCTTGAGACAACCTCAATCAGACATTCTCCACCTAGATGCTTGCTTCATCTACAGTGGCTTTATATAAGGCATTCTTATTTGCTATTTTTTGATATTTCAGATATCGAAAGGTTTTTGAATCCTCAGTACTATCACGTCTACTCAAATCCTTTTTGTATTCTTCAGCCCAAATTACCTCTTCAATTATCGAATTGGTATTTTACTGTTGTTTTACATGCATTGTCTCATCCTCCCTTTGAGCCCTTAGCTTCATATTCTTTGTTTCACCCGTCTCTTAAATTGTAATTTTTTTGTTGTTGGCTTGTGTTTTTTGATGATTCTTTGCAATTTATGTGGATTGGGGCCCCCAGTGGCACAGTGGTACATCTGCAGACTTACAATGCTAGAAGCTAGGTTTTGATACCCATGGTGGGCAGAGCACAGATAATAGCCCTTTATGTAGCTTTGTGCTTAACTACAAACAAACCATGTGCATTGGACTCATTATCATTCCACATTTGACCTGCTTTACCCCAATAGGTCTTTTCTTCCCAATACTCACAACCATGGAAAAGAAAAGATCCTTCTCACCAATCCATTTGCCAGCCATTCCTCACCTTTATGACTATATCGATCCTTATTGTTGTGTCCTGTCAAGGCCCTCAAGTGTTATTTGTCTTGTACTAACTCATTTTGAAGTACTAGGAATCGATTGTTCAATTTTTGGGATCCTTCTATTTCCTGTAACTTATCTCCTGTTACCCTAACGAGGTGGTTTTGCAAGTTGATTCAGACGACCTATAATGGATTATCGTTACAGGAGAGGAATCTTTTGCATGTCACATCTCACCAGATTCATCATTTATCTATGTCATTAGCCACATGGTTGAAATGCCCTTTGGAAGACATTGTGTGACTGGTATGTGTACTACTCATAATATTTTCCTATCTCATTACTTACATTGTGTGGTAGTATCCTCTTTTGAGGGTTTTCGACTAACTCCTATATTGACCACCTCTGTTAGCCTTTAACCAGAGGTGAGTATTTTTGTCAATTATATTCTCTTTTATTTCCAGGATCCCTTTATTTTTCACTGGGTGAGTGTTACTCAGGCAAGTATGCTTTCTCTTTTCAATCCTGCATTGTAATTTCACTATAATTACTACAGGTTGCACAGGCTCTGTCAAAATGGAGTGTTCCATAAAACCATCTAGATGCCTACCGGATGGTATTATGCACCAATACTCATGGACTATCATGAGTTATACTAAAGGGGATCCTGCCAATCTTCAGGTTGAATAAATCAGGATCGGTTTGCTTTTAAAAATGTAGCTAATTGGGTTCACCTGTTGCACAGTTTCCAGAGCACTGTTCCTTAGGGCTCCCCAATACATATTACCCCCCAGACTACTAATGGAATTAGGGAGTCCTTACCACCCCCATTTTCCAGTTGCTAGGTTGGCGGACAGAGGCTTTTCCTCCCGAGTGTTTGAGTGTGTTCCTCCACTCTTGAAGAAGAGGATGAAGTTGGAGGCTCTCCTACTCTGATCCCTTGATGTTTTTCCCATATGTCAGTAGGAGTGGCACCAGCCTCCATGGGAACCTACTCGTAATTCTGT